AGGCTCAGGGGTCCAAGATTATCTTCTGTGTCTGTGTTAATTGGTTTCCCTTTTCTTTGTTGAAGAGGGTCTGTGCAATCCTTTTGCCTAGTCCGCCATCTTGCCGGAACCCTCTAAAACATTCTTAATAAACCATAGTTCTAGAATTTACTCAAAAATTTTTATTCTATTAAAAAAACAAATTAAATTTTAAATCAACATCTAAATGAAAACCTTTAGAAGACTTCTAAAAAAAAGAAATGTTATAGATACTTCAAAAATTCTTTTCTTACTTTTCAGTTACTACTTTTTCTTCAAAATATTCTTCACAGCCATTTATTTTGGTAGACTACAATAAAGAGAAGTCAAAACAAAATTAGGTCATTGTAACAAAAATCAAACAATCTCATAATGTTTAATTATTTCCTGAATTATTTCTAATTTTACTGTTATTTTTCATCTTCATATCATGAATACACACATTTGATCAAAACATTCTAAACTGTGGCTAAGGGATCTTCAGCAGGCCAAAAAAAAAAAAAAAATATATATTTTAACTGGTTCCACTTATTCACCTTTAAATTTGTCTTGCTCTTAATTTTGCATATAAAATAATAAAACCAAACTCACTGCTATTGAGTTGATTCCGACTCATAGCAACTCCCTTTGGGTATCTGAGGCAGTAAATCTTTACGGAAGTCTTCCTTCTGCAGAATGGCTGGTGGTTTGAACTGCCAACCTTCTGATTAACAGTCAAATGCTTTTAAGCACTACACCACCAAACCCCAAAAAAACAAACTCACTGCTGTCGAGTCAGATCCGACTCACAGCGACCCCTCTTTGGGTTTCCAAAGCGGTATATTTATGGAAGTAGATTGCCAATCTTCCTTCTGAGGAGTGGCTGGTTGGTTTGAACAGCCAGCCTTCTGGTTAAACTACGCCTTAGGCACCATGCCACCAGAGATCCTTAATTTCGTATATAAGGAATATAACTGGAAGTAAAGAGAAAGCAAAAGGAAAATATGTTTCTCTTTTCCTATACTTTCCAAAATTTTAACCTTTGTCAATAAGAAAATTAAACAAAATGGGAAAGAATGAAGACTAAATTTGTAAGTATATGGTAAAATTTATATTCACAAAAAAGTATATATGTATACAAATATCTGTATTTTAATATGTATAATGAAGTGTATAAACCTAACAGTTCATAATAGTCACTTCAGATGAAGCTGTGGGCTAGGTAGAAAAAGGAATTTACATTTAGACTTTTCTGTTTGAAATATTTTTAAAAATGAAGATGCAATATTTTCATATTTAAAATAATGAAAATTTCTGCTATGAACTTTTATCACAGCTCAGTATAAATGAGAATTTATACTGTATGAACAAGGCTGATTTTTTAAAGATAAGTATCTCATATTTTTCAAATGAACATCAAAGTTTTTTATTTATGCTCATAGTTGAAAGAAACTTCAGAACATACATTTGAAGGGGCATCTTCAATATTATTATTTATAAAAATATAATTGTTGTTGTTGTTATTGTTATGTGCCGTCGAGTCGGCCCCGACTCATAGCGACCCCTCCTTGGGTTTCCGAGGCAGTATCACTACAGAAGTAGGATTGCCCAACCTTCCTTC